CGGCGTGGGGGCGCCGCGGCCCGCCGCCCCCCGCCGCCGACGGCGGCGGAGATGGATTGTCACCGGCAGTGGGTGCGGAAGTGAAAGACATAGGAAATTTTAGAGAAGGGGTTGTGGGGTTTGAGACAGTAGTGATATCTGATGAAAAACTTCTGAGAATGATGAGAAGGGAAAGACATAGAAAAGAAAAACCGATGATTTTGACGAAAGCTGGAGTCTTTGTAAGTGAAACAATATTATTTTCTGAACCTGAGAAACTAGTACTCATCCCTTTCATTGTTCCTCCCTCCACCACCAAAATAAACGAAAATTCAAGAACTGAAGTTGGAATTCACAAAAGGGTTTGTGAGGTTGAGTTATTTCTGAAGAAATTCTTTGCTGGTTTTACATGGCATTGAAACAATGGACTTTTGGGGGAGGCGTAAACGTGACGGTAGAAAAATGGTAACATATAAAGTATATATTATTTCACTTATTTCAAGGAATTGTAAAGTTCAATAATGGCAGAAAATCAAGAAATCATCTGAACTGAACTAGGAGTGTGTATATATATTTATGGGTCCCATCTTTTTCCTATTTTGGCAAGTGGGTCAGGTTTGGTCCACGAACCACTTGTCCGACCCGTACGCTTCGGGGAAAAAGGGAAATTGGTATAACTATGGGTGTGTTTGGTACGAAGGAAAATGTTTTCCTAGAAAATAAGTAGACTTTGAACTTATTTTCTCATATTTTGTTGATGAATAGAAAATATTTTTCGTAAAAGATTTTAGTGTGTTTGATTTATGAATGAAAAATATTTTTGAGAAAATATATTTTGTTTATACTAGAGAATAAAAAATAATTATTGAATTGAAACTTAAAAATATTTTTTAAAAATAAATTTAATTTATTTTTTGGGGGAGCGGAGGGTGGGGGGGAGGTAGGGGTGAGATGTGGTAAAAAAATAAAAAATTGAAAATATTTTAAAAAACAAACTTAAATTTTTTTTGGAGGGTGGGGGGT